AGAGAGAGAGAGCGCGCCCTGACTTACCAGAAGAGGATCCGCAAAATATTGGCCACCAGGAGCACCAGGCACACGTAGGTGGAGAAGCCCTCGGCGTTCTGAGTCCTCCGGATGTCCCGGTACTGCGGGATGTAGGGCACCACCCCTCCGAAGACCATGGCCCCGGCCGCCCCCCAGGAAACCAGCTGCTGCAGCGGGACCAGGAGCCAGTCCAAGCCTTGGACGTCCATCGCCGAGCCCCGTGCCGCCCCGCCAGCGGCTGGCGTCCCCCTGGCCGCTCCCCTCCGCTCCGCGGGCTCCTCCGGGAAGGCGCGCGGACTGTCAGCCCCACATGGCCGCCGCCGGAGCCTGGCAGGGGAGGAGAGGGAGAGAGCTGCGGCCGGGCCTCGGGCGCGGGGAGGCGGCGGCGCTCCGCGGGGACACCCGGCGGCACGCGGGGCGCCCGGCTGGGGCGCGACTCCCGCCCCGGACACGCGCGCTCAGGGCGCCCGGGGCGCGCGCAGCGGCATCGCGGGGGGTCCGGGCGCGGACGCACGGCCCCGGGGGCGGCGGGCTCGGTCCGGAGGAACTCGGTCTCGGAGACGGATCGGTCCCGGGGACCCGTCCAGTGTGGCTCCCGCCCCGCGCCCCGTGCCCCGTCCCACGCTCAGCGCCGGTCGCGCCCCGGGCCTCACCAGCCGCGCCGGCTCCGCCCGTCCGGCCGGCGTCCGTCAGGCGGCCGGTCGGAGCCCGTGGCCCCGCCTCCCCGTGACGTCACAATGTCAGGCCCCGCCCCCGCCGCCGGGACGGGCGCCGGCGGGTCCTAGAGAACGAATGGGGCCGGGGAGGTGGGACCCGGAGCGGGAAGGTGGGGGCGGTCACGGCGCGGCCGCCTTCCAGGTAGGAGATGCTGGCCCGGCTGAGCCGCGTTCTCCGGGGCAGGTGCCCGCGTATACGGTCCCCCATGTCCCCGGGGGCGGGGGAGGGGGGCATGTAGGTTCGGCGCTTGGCCACCAGGAGCGGAGGAGGGAGTCCTGGCATCGCCCCGCGGGCAGCGCGTGGCCTGGGGACCCCGCTAGTGGGGACGGGGCGGAGGGGGATTGGAAGGGGGCATCCCCCTTCGTGGAGACCAGGGGAGCGGCCCCCCGGTGACTCCAGAGTCCCCCCCCCCACGCGATCCTTCTCGGGGTGGGGGGAGGGGGCAGTCGGGGCCACATCCTGACCCAGCGGACACCCCGGAGTAGGGGCAGAAGTTCGGGGGTCTCCCGGGGTAGGGTGGGCGGCTCTTCTGGGGACAAAGCCCATAGCCGCCCGGGGTTCCCCGTGTTCCCGCATCGCAGACGCTGTCCCTGCTCCCGCTCAGCCCCGCCGTCCTGCCTGACCGCGGTGAGCGCCCGGGCCCAGGTAGGTGGTGCGGCAGGAGGACCCGGTGTGAAGCCCGGGACCTGAGCGGGTGGGGCTCAGGGACCCCAGGATTCTGTCTGTAGAGGAGCCCCGTGAGGTCTCCCCTCAACCACAGCAGACCCTAAGCATTCCAGAAGGAAAGGCCTGGTGGATGAGCTGGTGTTTCTCTCTCTCTCACTCTCTCAAAATAAATTAATTAAATAAATTAATTTAATTGAAAACTTAAAATAGTTTATAATATTGCATTAAAAAATGAAATATGACATCTGGTCCCCATCTTCCCCTCCACCCAGGTCTGGCTGCTTGCTTCCTACGTGGTAGGCTTTGTGGGAAATCCTAACAGCAGGTACAGGCTGGCTAAGAGCAGCTCCCCAACAAGCCTGTGTGATGGGGTGGGGGTGGGGAGACTGGAAAGAACCCAGGTTGCTGTCACTGCTCTCAGTGTCCACAGAAATGACAGAGCACACAGCACCGTGCATGAATAGGAAAACAAAAACACAACACAGAGAAGGAAGCCAGACTGGGCTGGAGAGGAACTAGATGTGTCCCTACTTAGCCACTTCCTCCCCCAGCTGTAAAGACTCTAGAATGTTCCCTCCTCTGTTCTGGAGGTTAGAGGAAGGACACAGGCTGCCCTTCTGGCACTGGAGCACCTGGGTCAGGCCGCTGACCCTGTTTTCCTGGCACGTATAGGCAAATTGGTGGCCAGCCCACAGCCACCTGCTCCTCTGAGTCCATCAGGGTTTTGGGGGGGAGGGGAGCACCACCAGAGTCCACTCAAGTCTGGGCAGCCTTGGAAGCCTCGGGGGTTTGAGAGCCACTGTTTAAAAAAAAAAAAAAAAAAATATATATATATATATATATATATATATATATATATATATATATATATATATATATAGGAAGTCCTCAGGACTCAGAATAATTTGCTTCCAGGAAAAAGGCCATTACTTTCAATGCGGCCAGAATTGCAACATAAATAATTAAAATAGTTTAAAATAATTAAAAAGTTTAAAAACAAGCGTTGGCCAGTGTGACTCAGTAGGTTGGAGAGTTGTCCAAAAGGTGGTGAGTTGGATTCCCGTCAGGGCACATGCCCAGGTTGTAGGTTCAATCCCTGGCCAGGGCAGCAACTGATCTCAATGTTTCTCCCTCTCAGTCTCTCAAAATAAATTAATTAATTAAATAAATTTAATTGAAAAATTAAAATAGTTGATAATATTGTGTAGAGGGCCCCTTGGGAATGCACATGGATGACCTTTAATTATCAGCTGAACTCAGGCATAGGCGGAGCCACGCCCTGGGAACATGTTTCCCCAAAATGTGGGAGACTGTTATCCATGTGCTTGGAATGAGGAACAAATAGGGCCTTGACTTACCCAGGTCTTGATATACTAAATCCCAGGAATGAGGGAATGAATAGGACCTGGGCACACCCAAACTTCTTTGCCCTTAAACCCCCCTCTGGAAATCAATAAATGTGCTGTGTTGTCTGTGGTGGGTGTTGACTGTCCCTCCATCAGTGACAGCCTCCACCCGGCACTCAGCTTTTGGATCTATTTCTGCCTCTTGTCTCTTTCTTTCTTTTATTTCTCAATCCCCAGCTCCTCCACTCAGGAACCTGTCCTCCTCCCCTTCCATGCAGGACGCAGAAAAAGGAGAAGCACCCCACCTCAATATTGCATTAAAAATGAAAGCTAAAATTATGAAAATATTGCAACTATTTTAAAATGAAAAGCAGAACTGCCAGCATGGCTCAATGGTTGAGCATCAACCTATGAACCAGGAGGACAGGGCTTGATTCCATGTCAGGGCACATGCTTGAGCTGTGGGCTTGATTCCCAGCTGATCAATGATTCTCATCATTGATATTTCTATCTCTCTCTTCCTCTCTTCTCTGAAATTAATAAAAATATTTTTTTTAAAAAGAAAAGCAAAAAAATTTTATACTCAAGTCTATATACAAAGAACTATATCCCCAAAGAACCCCCCTTTTTTTACAGAACATTTGAGAATTTGCAAACATACGAAAAAGTAGAGATTTAGCACACTGAGCCCAAGTGTCCCTCACCCACATTAGTAACTATAACGGAGCTTTTAATGAATATAAAATAAAAATTGAACAGGATAATCTAATTGACATTATTTCTCCCTTTTCAGCCATAACAGTGAATCTTAAAATCAGCAGCATCTTGCCAAGACCAGTTTGGCTCAATGGATAGAGCGTCGGTCTGCGGACTGAAGGGTCCCGGGTTCAATTCCAGTTGAGGGCATGTACATTGTTTGTGGGCACATTCCCAGTGGGATGTGTGCAGGAGGCAGCTGGTCAATGTTTCTCTCTCATCGATGTTTCTAACTCTCTATCCTTCTCCCTTCCTCTCTGTAAAAAAAAAAAAAAAAAAAAAAAAAAAATCAATAAAAATAAACCAGCAGCATCTTACATTAAAGGCCTTAGAAACAAGACTGCCGAAACCGGTTTGGCTCAGTGGATAGAGCGTCGACCTGCGAACTGAAGGGTCCCAGGTTCGATTCCGGTCAGGGGCATGTGCCTTGGTTGTGAGCACATCCCCGGTGGAAGGTGTACAGGAGGCAGCTGATCGATGATTCTCTCTCATAGATGTTTCTAACTCTCTATCCCTCTCTCTTCCTCTCTGTAAAAAATCAATAAAATATGAGAGGGCAGGGCGGGTGAGGAGAAACTCCTGACTCCACTGTGGGGCAGGGCAGAGTTATCCTCCATTTTGTAACTGAACCCTAGCCCTCACCCAACCAATTAGGGTTAGCTGAGGCAGTGACATCACCACCAACTGGAGTAAAACCCCTGGGCTGGGCGAAATTCTCTCTCTCTTTTCCGCCATGCTGCCAGCGTGAGTGGGACAGAGCCCATGCTAGCATGGAAAAGGCTCTTTTGTTTATTGCATCGGACTCGGCTCCCTGGTGGTCCTTGGGGATCGCGAAGTCTGGGCGTAACAAAATATATTAAAAAAAGAAAGAAAGAAAGAAAGAAGACCATCACATGGACTCCAGCAAGGGGCACTTCCACTGACATTTACTCTTCACAGAACAGACTTTCCTCATGGTCATAATAATAGTGATAATTATAGGAAATAAGTGGAGAGTGTTACAATGTAATAGCAATAGAAAATAATTAAAGAGTGTTATAGGAAATGTAGAAAATTATTTTGTGTGAAATATTAAAAAGCACAGGAAATGACCACTGTGGCCAAGCCCTAGCTGCACCATGTAGATAAGACCGTAGCTGAATGCTTCTCTTAGGAATGACATATGTAAACCTGATAGACACCTTCTGAGTGACACCGTGATTGATAACCAGCTTGTACTCTGATTAACACTCGTGTGATGAGGTATGTTACTGATAGCCACCTGGACAGGCGTGGGTCAGAACAGGCTTAAAAATGATCATCCTCTCTTGATCCACACTCCACACTGCCTTGCTCCATGCTGGATGGCAGAAGAATGGTCAAACCTCCCAACATGACATTTTGGTTGCCCTCCTCCCACTGACTCAACCCAACCAGATAGCAGCCACCAAAGACGGGACCACCGCTGCCCACAGAGGACACCACTCTTCCCTGGGACCCCTTTAAATCTGAACCCACGGCACCAGGAACCTTGTAAAAAAAAAAAAAAAAAAGTGTGATTTGCAACTGCATATTTTTCTGTGGTATAATTCTCCTCTGCCAGTTTTAATTATCCTATGTAATAAAAGTCTAGGTGGTGTCATGCGCGACATTATCACAAGATGACCAACACAAGATGGCCATCCTCACATTGTCACAAGATGGCTGGCAGGGAAAAGAAGTTGGGGGGCAAGATCAGGCCAGTGAGGGAGGGCAGTTGGGGGCAATCAGGCTGGTAGGGAAGGGTAGTTGGGGGCAAACGGGCAAGCAGGGGAGCAGTTAGGTATCAATCAGGCCGGCAGGGGAGTGGTTAGGGGGCGATCAGGCTGGCAGGCAGGCAAGTGGTTATGAACCAGGAGTCCTGGGTTGTGAGAGGGATCTGACTGCCAGTTTAGGTCCAGTCTCTATCGGGCCTAAACTGGTAGTTGGAAATCCCCCAAGGGATCCCAGATTGGAGAGGATGTAGGCTGGGCTGAGGGACACCACACACACACACACACACACACACCTGTGCATGAATTTCATGCACCTGGCCTCTACATCAATATAAGGTCAGATGATAATGCTTACCCTCAAACCTGCTTACTTAGTCTCTTCCCTAGCAACTACTTAATGTTCAAACACCTGCGAGGTTAAGCTTATCTCAAGGGACACCTTGGATAATGCCCCATATACTCTACTCAGACACTCATACATTTGGTCACACTATCATGTTCTCATCTATCAAAATTAAACTTTTAGTCTTTTAATTTAAACTTTTTTTAAAAAAATCATATATGAACATTTATGCCAATACTGTTGGCAGTATGGGAAAGCAGCAGGTCATTCACAAAAATCTGCTCTGCAGTGCTCCCATAAGCCAGCTGCTTCTATAGGGTAGGACAAAGACTACATGGGGAAGTAGGAGGCTGGGTGGGACTCTCTGTTAGGGGAGCATGTTGTTAATCTTTCCATGATAACAGGCAGTTCTTGAATAAAAATGATTCCAAGGTTGACTCCTAGGTCCTGGGGGCATACAACTCCCACCAGGTCAGAACGTCCTTCCTAACTCTCTCTCACTCGACTTGGGCATATCAATGGACACAAAATTCTCTGAAGGGAGGGCATGTATGGGGGGTGGGGGTGGGGTGCAATGGTATATGTACCCAGATAATAATTTAACAAAAAAAAGTAAAAAACAAAATAAACAAACAAAAAAACAATGTCCTTCCTTTAACCAACACAAGGCAGTCATGGATAACTGAGTGTGATTAATATTTCCCATAACCATAGTGAAACAGGAATTTTGGGGTAAAATAGGACAAGTTTAGGAAGTATTAAACTGGGAACAGCAAAAGGTCTGTATTTACAAAATAAAGAGAAGGAAGCCCTTTGTTCAGAAGGAGAAGAAAAAAAGAGAATAGGAAAACAAGAATGAAGTGGTGGGAGTGGAGGGGAGGGAGAATCTCACAAATCCCATGTGATGTTTGACCTTTAGTTACTATAGTTACTATAGTAACCAGTCTAAGGGATAGTGACCAATCAGAGGGAATATCAAGGCACCAGGACCTGCAGCCTTTTTAAGCCACAGGGAAAAAGAACTCAGTGGGACCCTTTTCCCTCTCCCTACTTGCAAGTCCATTCTGTGGGACTCTCTCATTCCCCATGTGGGAGGCTGTACTTATTCCTCAATACATCTCCACCTTTGCTATATCACTTTATGTTCGTGGATTCAATCTTTGACTCAGGCGAACAAAGAATCCGGGTTCCAGTCCAAAAATTCCATATCAATAGCAAAGTCCCCAATATTCTGTTTTTGCCCCTAACATTTCCCCACTGCTATTTCTAAAAATCTCATATCGGTGAGATTAGTTTTAGATGAAAAGTCTCATCCTGCTGGACCACATCTGCTTCTGCTTTGAAAGCAGTTTCCAGGGGTGGAATACACCAAATGTAGGATCATGGATATATATTCTCTCAACTGAGAATTGTCAGAAAGATTAAAACAGCACATTGCTGCCGAAACTTGTTTGGCTCAGTGGTAGAGAGTCGGTCTGCGGACTGAAAGATCCCGGGTTCGATTCCGGTCAAGGGCATGTACATTGGTTGTGGGCACATCCCTGGTAGGGGGTGTGCAAGAGGCAGCTGGTTGATGTTTTTCTCTCATCGACGTTTCTAGCTCTCTATCTCTCTCCCTTCCTTCTCTCTGTAAAATATTAATAAAATATATATATATTTTTTAAATATATTTTATTGATTTTACACAGAGAGGAATTGAGAGGGACAGAGAGTTAGAAACGTCGATGAGAGAGAAACATCGACCAGCCGCCTCTTGCACACCCCCCACAGGGGATGTGCCCGCAACCAAGGTACATGCCCTTGACCGGAATCGAACCCCGGACCTTTCAGTCCGCAGGCTGACACTCTATCCACTGAGCCAAACCGGTCCCAGCAATAAAATATATTTTTAAAGAGAGAGAGAGAGAGAGAGAGAGAGATGAGTGTGCAGATGTATGAAGCTGCTGCCAGCCTAACACAGCACACTGTTTAAAAAAACAAAACAAAAAAACAAACAAACAAACAAAAAAACCCCCAGCATATTCCTTTAAAGTCCTTACAACCCTGGTTATGCTGCAACAGCAAGTAATCTATTGCTGCCCGATTCTCTAGGACTGCCTCCCTGGCCTGGCTCAGCTCTGGATTTGTCCCGTGTAGCCCTGGAAGGGGCATTTGGGCTTTTGCCATGCTACAACCAGCCGGGTCTCTTCTACATTAAGGGAGCCTCCCAGGACCGGCAGAACAAAAAAGGCTAAAGCAATAGGCAGCAGGTCCACGGCCTTGAGAAAGTCTCTTGGTTCAGAACCTGTGATGTTTCTGAGGCATAAAGGCAGTCAGTCAGCAGAAACCGGTTTGGCTCTGTGGATAGAGTGTCGGCCTGCGGACTGAAAGATCCTAGGTTCGATTCCAGTCAAGGGCATGTACATTGGTTGCGGGCACATTCCCAGTAGGGGGTGTGCAGGAAGCATCTGGTTCATGTTTCTCTCTCATTGATGTTTCTAGCTCTCTATCCCTCTCCCTTCCTCTCTGTAAAAAATCAATTTTATATATATATATATTCCTCAATACATCTCCACCTAAGATGTATTGATCCTAAGAAGCAGCCCCCTCTCCCCCTACTCCGTGCTGTTAGCAGGGATAATTCTTTTGTCTCACATTTTGCTTCTGCTATTGTTATGTGTCTTTGCTTCCACAAATATGCACTTCTCACTCAGACCCTTTTCCTCCCCCACTAAGTCCTGCACAGTGAATCACCACGTACTTTCTGTAGCGTCACAGCACACCTTAACTAACATTCTCACAGTGTAGATTTCCAAGGCAGTTGCATTAGAGGACTTTTCCCCTGAACCTAGTTTCTGAAAGTTAATATTCTTAAGGAAATGGCTGACTGTTGAGTGATTCTCACTCCCATTTTAATGAACCTGCCGCCCACAGGTGCAGAACTAAGAACTTGATGCCTCACTAGGCAGCGTAGGTGGAAACCCATCCGGGTGCTCGGTGTAAAATGACAGATCCTGTTTCTCCGGTAGAGATTGGGTCTCAGGGTCACCAGAGAATTTTTGAGCAAGTTCCCATTTGACAAGAGAGATTACAGTTGAGAAAAATATTTCGAAACACAAAGGGAGAGGGAGAAAGAATCATGGGTACTGGGATTCTTAGCCTAGGGTTTAGAAGGTTAGCTGGGAAGATGTACTTTTAAAAAGAAATATTGTAGTAAAATATGCATAACATCAGATTTACCATCTTAACCATTTATTTTTACTCTTACATTAATCCTTGCCTGAGGATATGTTTTCCATTGACATTTATTTATTTATTTATTTATTAAATATATTTTATTGATTTTTTATAGAGAGGAAGGGAGAGAGACAGAGAGCTAGAAACATCGATGAAAACAACCAGCTGCCTCTTACACAACCCCCACCGGGGATGTGCCCGCAACCAAGGTACAGGCCCTTGACCGGAATCGAACCCAGGACCTTTCAGTCTGCAGACCAACGCTCTGCTACTGAGCCAAACCAGTCTCAGCTTCCATTGACTTTTAAAAAATATTTATTAAATTACATGGGGTTACATTGGTCAACATGAACATACAGTTTTCAGGTAGGGGTTTCTATGTTCCATTGACTTTTAGAGAGAGAGGGAAGGAGAGTGAAGCATAGATATGAGAGAGAAACATCAATTGGTTGCCGGCTGACAGGCCCCAACCTGGGCCAGGGATCAAACCTGCACCCAGTTTCCTGCCCTTGACCTAGAATCAAACCCAGGACCTTTTGGTGCGAGGGTTGATGCTCTCGCCACTAACTGGCCAGGGCCATCCTAGCCATTTTGATGTGCGCTGTTCAGGAGCATTAAGTATATTCAGTGGGTGCCAGGGCCTGGGGGAGAGTGAGTGAGTGTTCACTGGGGCAGAGGTTCGGTTTGGGAAGATGAAAGAACTGTGTGGGTGGACAGCAGTGAGTGCTACACGATGATTGTGCCTAAAGCCACTGACCTAGCATTTACAATGGCTAAGATGGTACGTTTTAAGTTGTGTATATTTTATTATTACAGGAGGAGGAGGAGGAAGAGAAAGAGGAGGAGGAGGAGGAGGAGGGGGAGGGAGAGGGGGAGGAAGAGGGGGAGGAGGAGGAGGGAGAGGAGGAGGAGAAGGAGGGGGAGGAGGAGGGAGAGGAGGAGGAGAAGGAGGGAGAGGGGGAGGAGGAGGATGGAGAGAGGAGGAGAAGGAGGAAGAGGGGGAGGAGGAGGAGGGAGAGGGTGAGGAGGAGAAGGAGGGGAAGGGGGAGGAGGAGGAGGAGGAGGAGGAGGGGAGAAGGAGGAAGAGGAGGAGGGAAAGGGGGAAGGAGAAGGATGAGGAGGGAAAGGGGGGAAGATGAAAGAGGGGAAGGGGGGGAGGAGGAGGAGGAGGAGGAGGAGAGGGGGAGGGGAATGAGGCGGAGGGGGAGGAGGAAGAGGAGGAGGAGAGGGGGAGGGGGGTACAGGGGGAGAAGGAGGAGGAGGAAGAACAGAAGGAGGAGGAGGAGGAACAGGGGGAGAAGGAGGAGGAGGGGGAGAGGGGGAGAGGGAGGAGGAGGGGGAGGGGGAGTTCCTGCTAGATCTATGGCTACCTTTATCGCCAAAGTGATGGGGAAAAAGCAAACCAGAGCTGTGAGACCGCTCAGACTAAAGGCCTTGTCTCTGTAGAGGGTCCCAGCTCCGCCGCAGGGATGATGACAATGACCTTCAGGAAGAAGCCGCCACCCTCCCAGGCCTTCTCCCAGGACCTGCCCTGCAGCTTCTGCGTCTCCCCGCTGGGGCAGGCGCGCCCAGCCCAGGAATTCACCACTCGCTGGCACCTAAGTTGCCGGCGGCTGCAGCTCGTCCAGCCTCTCAGGTGTTCACTCCGCAGCCTGAGCCCTGCCTGAGGCCACCACTGCCGGCACCAGATGGGATCACGGCGGCGCTGACCTCCAGAGCCACCAGAACCCCTAGACCGCCGGCCCACCGGAGTCCACATGGAGGCGCAGGGACACGAAGACCCGGGGGGCGCGCTGCGGGAACTGGTGAGTGGGGACCCCGACCCCCACCTCCCTCCAGGCCCTCCCGGTGCTCCACCCCGTCCGGCCCGGGATGGCGGTGGGGACGTGGGGGTGCTCTGCTGTAGGGGGCAGCCAGAGAACCACCCTCCCGCAGCCCTGCAGTGCCCCCACCCACTCTCCTGTTGGCAGAGTCCAGGAAGCACCATTAAAAGGCTGATTCCTACGTCTTGTTAAAAGAATTTGTCAGGCCGAAACCGGTTTGGTTCAGTGGATAGAGCGTCTGCCTGCGGACTGAAGGGTCCAATGTTCCATTCGGTTTCGGGGGCATGTGCCTTGGTTGTGGGCACATCCCCAGTAGGGGGTGTGCAAGAGGCAGCTGATCGATGATTCTCTTATCGATGTTTCTAACTCTCTATCCCTCTCTCTAAAAAAATAATTATATATATATATATAATTTGTCAGATGTTGGTACTTAAACCTTTTGCCCCAGGAAGGCAAAACCCTCTGAAGGAAGGAAACAGCAGCTGGCAGCTGGCGGCAGTCTTCACACAGAAATGCAGGGTCTGGATGGCAGATTCTCTACTCTGTGGAGTTAATCCTTGAGATTTCATTTGCAAACTATGAAGCAACGTCATAAAGGTGGCCTGGCTTTCCTGGCAGGGGTGGCGTTTCTGTGAGACACTCCTGCCATGCTGATCCCAGCTAAAGACCTCTAGTGAGGGGGCAGAGGCCACCTGTGTCCAGGCGGTCAGCTCCTGTGAGAAGGCTCTGAGGAGCCCAGGGTGGCTGAGGTGTTGCCTGCTGTCTTTGGGACATCTTAGTCCTGGTGCTCATGTGTAGGTGTAGAATCCTGTTGGGTTAGTTCCTGTGTGGGGGGTGAGGTAGAGGCTGGCCTGCTTAGTCAGTTATGCACTTGGTCCTCAATGTCCCTCACTACTAGTTGAAAAGACTTTCCTTGTCTACATATGTGGATGGTTCTAGTCCATGATGCTTAAAATGCCCCATGTCAAGAGTAAATGTTATATGCAGTCAGTTGTCCTATAGTTTGTTTGTTTTTTCCAGGCAGAAAATCTGTTTCAGGAACTTCAAGAACATTTTCAAGCTCTGACTGCAACATTAAACCTCAGAAATATCCTTTTCCATCTGATAGCAAATACTGTGATGCTTTGAACTGTTAAACTATCATGGGATCTCTTTTTCGTGGGGAATTGATGAACCTCGGATTTTCTTGCACCCCGATGTAATTACCAGTCAGGTAATGCCTTCCTGCTTGACCAGCAGAACGGGGCATTTTGTGTGGCAATAAAATATGTGGACACACTGCACATGACTCCCCAGCAGGGCTGCCCCACCAAACCCTATAAAAATTGGCGGTCATACTCTACATACATTCAGAGACAGGCAGACGGAACATGGAAGGCCTCCAACATAGGGTGTTACACCTGGCTCCCCTACCTGTTTGGTTTGGTTTTATAACTTGAGCAGCTCAGTGTTTTGTTAAGATATGAATCCAAACACAATTAGAATAGAATGTTTGTTTCCAGTTGGAGCAAATTCAGGCAAGGGTAATATCTGCCCTACTTGAGCTCCTTAAAAACTGTGTTACAAAGTCTTTGCATATGGAACTTGCAGTTCTGATTCTGTAGCTGGGTTCCCACAGATGGGGGGAAAAATGATTCTTAAATGACACGATAAAGTTAAACTGAGTTTATTTCCATTATATTTACGTCCTCCTTAGAGTTTGGTTAAGACATAGTTAAACATACCAGAGTAACACACATCCCTGAGTTTGTGTCCTCACAGAGCTGAGCTCCCATTCACAGGCTAGAGACATCCTACAGAAACCTCAGGAAGTCTCTGCGCTGGCCTCCAGATGTGTTACAAGTTGCATGGCCGGGTTGTGTGTCAGACCCCCAGCTGGGCTGCAGGTTGAAGCAGGGCTTTCTGGCCTTGGACTCTGGGCTCCTTAACACGGAACTGGAAGAAATGGGAAACCGCCTGCAGGACTTGCAGAGGAATGTAAATGACTTAATGGTGCAAGCCGGGATCAACAGTGCTATCAAAGAACAAATGGTAAGACCATTACAGGGAAACCAAATAAGTTTACTTTGTGCAGAGCCTGGGATTGCTTTCACCTTGAGAAATGCAATCCCATATTGGTTCACTGTGGGAATTACTGCCTCTGTACTACATGAGAGACCTCCAGGAATAACCAGCCTTTCATAAATGCTCCTTTCTAAATTTGCCAACTTAAACACTCTGTTGTACTTCCTTTAAAAGTGTGCATTTTAATGAAACACTTTATTTAAAATTTGAATTTAAAAATTTTTTAAATACGATAAATAGTGGACTTTACTCAAGTACCTATTGACCCTCACCGCTCAAATTAATCTTTAGTCAAAACACAAATCATGATGATTTAGACATTGGAGATTATAATTACCAGTTTCTGTTTGAAACCATATTTCATGGAACCATTTAAAAAGAAATGTTGCGACGAAACCGGTTTGACTCAGTGGGTAGAGCGTTGGCCTGCGGACTCAAAGGTCCCGGGTTCGATTCTGGTCAAGAGCACTGTATGTTGGTTGGAGGCACATCCCCAAAGGGAGGTATAAAGGAGGCAGCTAATCGATGTTTCTCTCTCATGGATGTTTCTAGCTCTCTATCCCTCTCCCTTTCTCTCTGTAATAAATAAATAAATAAATAAATAAATAAATAAATAAATATCAATAAAATATATTTTAAAAATAAAAAGAAATATTGCATTCAGCCCTCAACCCATTGCCAGAGTCTGGAGGATCCCACCCACTCCTACCATGCAAACATTTCTTTTCCAGTGGAATTTTGCACTGAATCTTGAGATGCAAATAAATGCTTAGCTTCAGATTTCAGACTGAATTCATGTCCATGTGATGAATGTGGAGATGGACAACTTTAAGATATGTATGCTTTTTCTACTGACATAGGATTCTGACCATATGAGCCTATAATAATCAGGTGCCTTTGTTTTTCTTGTTTTCCCATTTCTTTTACAATTGTCATCCTATGTCATCTGGTAAATTATCGGTAGCTATCCTGCTAAATCAGAGCTAGTTCACTTATCGTATCTACATCTGGAAAAGATAGCTGTACCACATCCTGCTACTCATGAGCACTCTGAAATTCTGCCTGTAGGGTGAAAATACACCCTTCCCTATTAAAGTTGCACCAGACAGGACTCCCTGCCCAGCAGTCCTGTCTAGGCCTACTATACGCTAATGCTAAGCCCTCTGCATCTGAGGGCTAACTGATGATAAAGGGACCAGTGGGCCAATTTCTGCAGGATCCTGAGTTGGCACACCGCCAGGCACAGGATGGCTATTTGAGAACTTTGTCCCTTCCCTTCATCACCTGCACTCCAGCAGGGTTTTAAATTTGGTCAAACCCACTAAACATGAGGCATCAAATTTAAAAAAAACAAAAACAAAACCACAGGCAATGTGATAAGAATGTAATTGTGATTCCTGGTCAGGGCATATTGTTTTGAGAAGAAGGAATAGAGAGATAGAGATTGGGGGGGGCGGGAGGGAGGGCATTGGCAGAGAGAAACATCCATCAGTTGCCTCCCAAAGGTGTCCGGGCCAGGGATCAAACCTGTAACTAGGTATGTGCCCTGCCTAGGAATTGAACCCACCACCATTTTTCAGTATATGGGACAATGTTCCAACCAACTGAGCCACACTGACCAGGGCAAGGCTTCATTTTTTAATGCACATATAGTCATTATTTAAAGCAGCAAAATAAAAGGCCAGGTAACTAAATGTTTGTTCAAAGCTGTTAATGCCTTTTACATGAGAAGAGAGACTTAAATAAATTGTAATCTGCTTGGCTAAATCTGTGCTTGTTGGTGACACTATGTCAGGCCTCATGCCATGGGTTTCAGTGGATTCTGCTAACCCCTTAAACTTAAGTTCCTGTTGGGGGGAGGGTAATGACTGGGAAGAGAGTCCACGGCCCAAAATGTTAAAAAAACTACTGTTATGTGTTTTAAAAGATCTGGCTCTTTGCCCGTTTCCACATTAAATATAACACTTTTCCTATGTTTATACCGACACAGACAGGAGTGAGCTCTCTGGACACCTGTGACCCGGATGATGGAATGTCGGCGCTAATTGATACGAAGCACCCCGTTCACTCACCTTGATGGTGAGCCCACCCTGACGCCATCTGACTCAAATGCAAGTCACTTAGCATTATGTTTTTCTGCAAACTGAATTTTTCCTATACAAAAGTTCTAGTAATTACAGGTACATTCACTGAAAGCTTAGATTCCAGTTTATTTAACTGTACATTAATTCATGTAGAAGTAAATCTTTATCTCTTTCCAATCTTTTTTCTTACACCTGCATTTGCATTTGAAAATGTGATCAAATGAAAACTGTGCTTTTTAAAAATATATATTTTATTGATTTTTTTACAGAGAGGGAGAGAAAGAAAGCTAGAAACATCAATGAAAAAGAAATATCAATCAGCTGCCTCCTGCACACCCCCTACTGGGGATGTGCCCAAAACCAAGGTACATGCACTTGACCTGAAGCTAACCCGGGACCCTTCAGTCCGCAGGCCGACACTCCATCCACTGAGCCAAACCGGCTTTGGAAAAAACTGTGCTTTTTGCATTATAATCTACATAACTTGAATTCTGATTTTAGTATTTAAAAAATCATATTAGTGCCGGGACTGGTTTGGCTCAGTGGATAGAGTGTCGGCCTGCGGACTGAAAGGTCCCGGGTTTGATTCCGGGCAAGGGCATGTACTTGGTTGCAGGCACATCCCCGGTGGGGGGTGTGCAAGAGGCAGCTGATCAATGATTCTCTCTCATCGATGTTTCTAACTCTCTGTCCCTCTCTCTTCCTCTCTGTAAAAAATCAATAAAATATATATTTTTAAAAACTATACTGCTTTATTAAAAAAAATCATATTAGTAACATTAGAAATTAAAAACAAAACAAACAAACAAAAAAACAGGCAATGTGATAAGAATGTAATTGTGATTCCTGGTCAGGGCATATGCTCAGGTTGCAGGCTCAATCCCCAGTGGGTAGCATGCAAGAGGCAGGCAGTTGATGTTGATGTTTCTCTCTTGTCAACGTTTCTATCTCTCCCTGTCCTATCTCTCTTTCTAAAAAAAAATCAATTAAAAACATACACAAAATCAATTTATACCAGAAAACTACTTATGATCTTTAAATAAAAAATATCTATATACCCTATACCAGTTTGGCTCAGTGGATAGAGCGTCAGCCTGCAGACTGAAGGGTCCCAGGTTCGATTCCAGTCAAGAGCATGTACCTTGGTTGTGGGCACATCCTCAGTGGGGGCATCAGGAGGCAGCTGATTGATGACTCTCTCTCATCGATGTTTCTAATTCTCCATTCCTCTCCCTTCCTCTCTGTAAAAAAATAAATAAATAAATAAATAAATAAAATTTTATATATATATATATATATATATATATATATATATATATATATATATTATACAGAACATTTAAGTTCATCCTCAAATGTTCCTTTTTAATAATCTAACTGCAACTTTTAGGTCTAGAGGGAAAGAGTCATTTGAAACCTCCTTCTGTGACCACTGTTTACACATTTAAACTATGGGGAAGAGTCTATTAGAACTTAGCTTTTCAACTGTTTAAAATAAAAGCAAGACACAAATCAGTATGCAGTCAGATGTGATATGAGAGCCAAGACAGTTCTTAAAACTCAGAGTTGCATTAGGTAGAAAATATATTTTTAAAAAAGATAGAATTTAATTCCGAGAAAAAAAATTTGAATCACACAGCTTATGCTTTTCTTGTGTGATTTACAAAATGGTGTGGATGGATAGAAACATTCTGCCATTCAGCAAACATCTTTTTTTTCATCAAACCAGTGATTTCTTTGGTCCATGGATTGACACTCAATCACTGAGCCAGATCAGCTGAGCAAAAGTTGCTTTTTATTTATTTTATACTAGAGGCCCAGTGCACAAAATTTGTGCTCTGGGGGTTGTCCCTCAGCCCAGCCTGTACCCTCTCCAATATGAGACATCCCTCTCACAATCCAGGACTGCTGGCTCCCAACTGCTCGCCAGCCTGCCTTCCTGATTGCCCTTAACTGCTTCTGCCTGCCAGCATGATCAACTCCTAACCACTCCCCTGCCAGCTTATTTGCCCCTAACTGCCCTCCCCTGCAGGCCTGGGTCCTCCCGCAACTGCCTTTCCCTGAAGGCTTGATTGCCTCCAACTTCCCTCCTCTGCCAGCCTGGTTTCCCCTAACTATCCTCCCTTGCAGGCTTGATTGCCCCCAACTGCCCTCCCCTACTGGCCATCTTGTGGCGGCCATCTTGTGTCCACATGGGGACAGTCATCTTTGACCATATGTGGGCAGCCATTTTGTGTGTTGGACAGTCACTTTGCATATTATTATTTTATTATATAGGATAAAGGCCTGGTGTATGAATGGGGGCCAGCTGGTTTGCCCTGAAGGGTGTCCTGGATCAGGGTGGGGGTTCCCTTGGGGAGTGGGGTGGCTTGGGTGAGGGACCTATGGTGGTTTGCAGGCTGGCCATGCCCCCTGGTGACCAAAGCAGAGGCTCTGGTATCTGGGATTTATTTATCTTCTATAATTGAAACTTTGTAGCCTTGAGCAGAGCCAAGACTCCTGCTCACTCCATGGCCACAGCCAATTTTATTGGGATTTACTTATCTTCTGTAATTTAAACTTTGTAGCCTTGAGCAAAGGCCAAGGCAGGCCATGGCTGCAGAAGCGTGGCTTCCTTCATCGCTGGAGGCAACTCAAGTCTCCTGCTCTGTGGCTGCCACCATTTTTGTTGGGATTTATTTATTTATCTATAATTGAAACTTTGTAGCCTTGAGCAAAGGCCTGGACCAGCCAAGGCAGGCACAAAGCTTGGCTTTAATTACTGGGGAAACCCAAGCCTCCTGCTCTCTCTGTGGCTGCAGCCATCTTGGTTGGGTTAATTTGCATACTCACTTCTGATTGGCTGGTGGGCATGGCTTATGGATGTAGCTAAGGTATGATCAATTTGCATATCACTTTTATTAGATAGGATGTGTGTGTGTGTGTGTGTGTGTGTGTGTGTTTTAATTGATTTCAGAGAGGAAGAGGGAGAGAAACATCTCCTGCACACCTCTTACTTGGGATTGAGCCTGCAACCCAGGCATGTGCCCTTGACTGGAATCAAACCTGGGACCCTTCAGTCTGCAGGCTGATGCTCTATCCACTGAGCCAACCAGGTAGGACCAGAAGTTGCTTTTTAAATGGCTGCATCACTTTGTTATCTTTGTGGGCCAGATTTCCCAGACACTATTGGGCATAAGATTCTTAGAGTACCCCTGAAATAGCATTTTTCAGAAGCCCCATGGGAGAATGAAATGTGGTAAAAAGCTGTGTTTGCATGGAGTTACATTCCTTGGGTTGTAAAGTCCCATGTCCCTTAATCTAATTGCTGGGAATTCAGCAAAACCAAAAGAAGGTCAATATCCAGAGCTTCTGATCCATGTTGTAGTTGGGTCCAGTTTAGCATCAGGCTAATTCAAGTCCACTAGTCCATTGTGTGGAGCCCACAATGCTTAGGCACCAGGACAAATAGGGGGAACGTGCCCCCTGCAATGGGAGAGGCAGGAGCACAGGCATGCAGGAGACGCAAGGGCCAAGAGAGAGAACTTGCCAAGAGAGAGAACTTCCTTGGTTCAGAAGTTTTTAAAAATATATATTTTATTGATTTTTTTTACAGAGAGGAAGAGAGAGGGATAGAGTTAGAAACATCGATCAGCTGCCTCTTGCACACCCCTACGGGGATGTGCCCGCAACCAAGGTACATGCCCTTGACCGGAATCGAACCCTTCAGTCCTCAAGCCGATGCTCTATCCACTGAGCCAAACCGGTTTCGGCTGTTCAGAAGTTTAAATATTCAGGTTTCATGCCCTTGTAGTGGCCACACCTATTCTTGCCACTAATTTGACTGACAGCACCTTCCCAAGACACTCAGACTTTGCTGGGCATGCATGTAAACTGCTCTCGTCCATCTCCTTCCCCCACCAATAGGTGGGGAACAGACTTGGAGAGTGTTAAATTAGCAAAGCTGTGTAAATGGCATGCTTATATTATCTATCTTCCCTTTATTCCTTTCCTGTTAATAACCAGGTTATTACAATGGTGTCAAGTCAACATTTCCAGTTCCAGTGTTTATGGAAGAGTAATTTTAATTTGTCTAGTCCAAACAGGCTCTGATAGCCACACTCTCCAAACCAAACTAAATGAAAACCAAGAAGGCAGTGAGCCAGAAGCGCTGCTTATTCCCCAGGTGGTCCTTACCTCTCACCTCACTGGAGGCAGTTAGCAATTAGAGCTTTGTAGGTTATGGAGAAACACTTCCAAATAATTATCAACTCCCTTCTTTCTGAGCCAAAGTAAAATAAACCTGATCACTCCCAAAAGAGGTCGGTTGTAGGCTCTATTGTAAAAAAATAATATTATTCCTGCATATGAATCATATTCATTTAAAAGTCAAAATCAACTACAGTTGGCCCTAGCCAGTTTGGCTCAGTGGATAGAGTATCGCCCTGTAAACTGAGAGGTCTCAGGTTCAATTCCGGTCAAGGGCATGTACCTTGGTTGCGGGCACATCCCCAGTAAGGGGTGTGCAGGAGACAGGTAATCGATGTTTCTTTCTCATCAATGTTTCTCTCTATCCCTCTCCCTTCCTCTCTGTAAAAAAAAACAATAAAATATATATTAAAAAAAAAAAAAGAGGTCTTGAACGGAAAGGTTCCAGGTTTAGTTCCAGTCAAGAACATGTACCCCTGTTGCAGGTTCATCCCTGGCCTAGCCCCTCTTCGGGGCTCGTGCAGAAGGCAACCAATATCAGTATTTCTCAGTTCGGAGGGTGGGGGGTGGCGGAGGTGCAGGGACAGTTGTTCCAGGTGTGCTCCCCCCACGCACCAGTGCTCCTCACACAAACTTGGATGATCTCAACCACCCACCAGCATGCTCCTGGGATAGAATTAGAAGAGAAACTTGAGACTGTTAAGATTGATTGAAGGGTCATGGATCATGGACTCCATGGAGAATAGTGTGTTTAAAGTACATTAGATGTAATGTCAGGAAGAATAAAAAGCAGCTTACTTTTTAAATCCCCCATTGATTTTTAGACAGGGTTGGGAAGGGGAGCGGGGGAGAGAGAAACATCGATTGGTTACCTCCCATACATACTTCAACCAGAGCTGAGGATCAAACTTGCAATTGAGATACATGCCTTTGACCAGGAATCAAACCCTCCACCCCTTGTTCTGTGAGCCGACACTCCAACCATGGAGCCAAACAGGACAGGGCAGCAGCTTACTCTGTATTTAAAAGGCCGACCCCCCAAATTATTTTATTGCACTTTATTCTTATAGTGTGTATTCCTTCTAACTTAAGCCACTAGATTTTGTTGTGGGTTGAATTGTGCCCCTTCTCCTCCTAGGGCCTCAGAATGACCTTATGTGGAGATAAGACTGTTATAGATGTCATCAGTTAAAATGAGGTCATGCTGGAGTCGAGCAGCCCTGAGCCAATGACTGGTGTCCTTATAAAAGAAAACACTTGGACCAGACACAACTCAGGGAAAAAGCCTGGAGAATATGAAGGCTCAGGTTGGGGTGGGCGGGGACAGGGTTAGGGAAGAGGCACCTGGGTCTCCAGATGTCCTGTCTCCAGGTTGGTGAGACACATATTTCTGCTAAGTGCCCTGGGCTGAGGTCTTCTGTTTCAGCAGCCCCGGGACACACATAGCTTCAACTGCGAAGTGTGCAAAATTGGACAGCCCAGCCTGGCCAGTGTGGCTCAATGGTTGAGCATCAACCCATGAACCAGGAGGTCACAGCCTGATTCCCAGTCAGGACACGTGGACTCAATCCCCAGATCAGCATGCAGGCGTTAGCCAATCAATGAGTCTCTCATCATTGATGTTTCTCTCTCTCTCCCTTCCTCCTTATGAAAAATGTATTAAAAACAAAACAAAACAAAACAAAAAAAACACCAACAGAGTAGCCCACAGACCCCCTGAACTTTACTTCAATGGTAAAGAATCAAGTTTTTACTTCCAAAACCAGTAATCCATATACAAAATAAACCATGAGGACTTTCCCACAATTGTGTATTTGTTTAATTCAGCGAGATATTTACAGGTATTTGCGAATATGAAAGTACAGAAGCCAGGCCAACTCCAGCTTGAAGCTGTGCAGCCCTCCTGTCCCTCCCGACTCCTCCTCAAAGGCTTCAGCATCCACAGCGTCTCCACGTGAAAGGAACTCCCTGGGCAAACCCCAACCTGGGACAGGCACTCAGTATCGGTATTTGGTGGAGTAGTCCTTCGGGGACACAACCAGGCCTCGGCCTTTGCGAGCGCCCCGGTACACGGTCTCAAGGATGTCAATCATCTCCTGCTTGTCCTCCATGGCCCAGTTGATCTTGTTGTTGTTGCCAGTGCCCAGGTCAATCATGATGTGCTTGTTCCTACAGAGGGAATAAGCAAGGCTTATCAGAGCGTCCAGAAGGGCCCTGGTTGGGTAGCTCAGTAGGTTAGAGAGTTGTCCCAGTATGCTAAGGTTGCAGTTTTGATACCTAGTCGGTATATGCATGAGTAAGTGAAACAACAAATCAATGTTTTCCTTGCTCTCTCTCTCTCTAAAAATCACTATTTTTTTTTTTTTTTTTTTAAGCCTCTACAAGGGACCCCGGGAAAAATGCCTGTTTTCCACTGTTACAGCTCTGGTTAATCCGTTCAGATTTGACTCTGACATGTGGCAACCAGCAGGGCAGCCATAGTCTGTCTGAGCCCCCCATGTTTCCACTGCCCAGAAATGCACTAAGTTGCCTGTCTAGAAGCAGATGGAGCCCTAGCACAGCCAGCGAGTAGAGGCTTCAGCTCACGACCACAAAATGGGATTCGACCAACTACCGTGGTGAGCCATATGACTTCTTCCCTGACTGACTGACTACCTTTGAGAGAACCCAAGGAAACCTGTAGAACCTGCCCAGACTAGGACCTGCAGAACCCCGAACTTACAAATGGTGTTTTCAGCCACAAAACTTGTGCTAACTTGTCTCACAGAATAAGAAGCTAATACACACCCTACACGTCTACCTGGACTATCCTCACCAACAGGAGCTCTACTTGTGAAGTGAACATTAATACTGCTATACACCAACTTTTGTAGTAACAATAACTATGAAATTTTGGCAAGCATAGCAATATTAAAGGGTTATTTCTTTCCTAGTTAATCTTCCAGAACAGTTATTTTTGTATTCATGATGCTACTTAATTACATAAATGCCATCAAACATACGTGGCACCTGCATCAGACCTCTGGGTACACAGCCAGTACATTCCCAGGTTTTCTTTTGAAGCAAACCCCGTACATTGTGGATACAAATTTGCCTGAGGCAATTAGGGAAATTCTATTCTTCATGCCAGTAATTCATTGACTGGAGTACAAACAGAATGTTTACTGATAAAATGATCTTGTGCTTATAAGCAAATAAATTAAGAACAGGTTTTCCCTCTTAGCTATCACAAAGAATATTAGTGTCATGATATCATATTTTAAAATAGACATTGAGTTATTTTAAAACAGACATTTTCCATCAACAGATTAAAGGTAACTTAAATGTTAAGAAGAATATCTTCCATTTAATTACACTTCACCGAGGTTTCTGGGCAAAGTTACTCCAAAAGAGTAAGTTATCACTCAGTAAATGCTAAAACTAGAACTGTTTAAAAATTATTGAAAAGATCACATTAATTGCCCGGTGATACAATCTGTATGTGATATGACTACATAACGACTTCCTTCCAAGTAATCTAAAGGCATCTTGATTACATTAAACTTCCAGACCAACAATTTCAATTTAAACAAGAACTTTAAGAGAAAAGGAGCCCAGCCAGCATGGCTCAGTGGTTGAGCATCGACCCAGGAAACAAGAGGTCATTGGTTTGATTCCCAGTCAGGGCACATGCCTGGGGCTGTGGGCTCAATCCCCAGTGGAGGGGTGAGCAGGAGGCAGCCAATTAATGATTCTCTTTCATCATTGATGTTTCTATTTCTTTCTCCTTTCCTCTCTGAAATCAATAAAAATATAAAGAGGACAATTTAAATAACAAGTTTAAAACAAGAGGACATACCTGAAGAAAAACATCACAGTACAAGGATCATATAACTCATACATCTTGTTGAAGTCAGGTACTTCTGTAATATCCACAAGATAATTAACCGCAAAATTTTTAACCTAAAAGTAAAGAACATTAAAAGAAATAAAAATAAAATTTATTTAATTCTGTAAAAGCACATTAAAAACTAAAACAATCATCTCTGTATAACAGAACAATTTTCAAGCTCTCCAACATTTTCTCAGTAGAGTTAACACAGAAAAATAATTCAACAAGCTCAGGATTCCTAGCAAATAACTGGCTATTACACTTCCCTTTAACATTTTTTTAGAATAGCAAGTTACAAGAACTTTTAAGAAAATATCCACAGACATATTATTCATGCTGATCTAGCAATAATCTATATGATCTTTTCCAAATGTATACTTTTACTAATAATCACATGCATTGAACAACTGCTTTCCAACATACCATACATTCCCCATGTACTCGGGTTTGAACTCTTCTTGTAAATAGAACAAAAAACTACTACTCCAAATAGTATCGTATATAACAAATTTTCTTTAAATGCAAGTTCATCAGAGAAGATTTAGAAAACTAAAAATAAAATCACCTTCAATCCCAACAAAAAGTTAACTACTGCAAAAGTATTTTTAAGATGTTCTTTCCCATTTTTCCTCTAACTGAGTCGCACAGCCAGGGCTCCTGGTATACATGCGTGCATACATATATACATATTTACATATATACATATATATTTAACTGTTTTAACAAAATGTGATCATACCACAATATTTACTACATTGCTTTAATTACAAAAATTCTCTAAAAACACAACTTTTATGGCTGTATTAAATAATTAGTTCATGCTCTGACCAGTTTGGCTCAGTGGATAGAGTGTTGGCCTATGGACTGAAAGGTCCCAGGTTCGATTCTGGTCAAGGGCATGTACATTGGTTGCGGGCACATCCCAAGTAGGGGGTGTGCAGGAGGCAGCTGATTGATGTTTCTCTTTCATTGATGTTTCTAACTCTATCCCTCTCCTTTCCTCTCTGTAAAAAAAATCAATAAAATATATATAAAATAATAATTAGTTCATCAAATGTCTATGCCATTACTATACCTTTCTTCTGTTACTTTCTGATTAATATCAATTATTCCCCTATGAACATTCTAGGCCTTAAAATTTGTGCACACATTCATTATTTTCTAAGGATAAATTCCTAAAACAGAATTTCTAGAAGAATATAACATTTTAAAGGCTTCTTATAAATACAGGGGTGGGCAAAGGTTTACAGTTGTAATACAAATAAATCTATAAAAGGGTAATATGCTAATTAGACTGGACGTCCCTCCTTCCCAACAAAACCACAGCGGGCAGGGTCTGGGGCCGGGCCAAAGTCCTTGCATGAATTTCGGTGCATCGGGCCTCTAGCACAACAATAATAATGCAAGACCTGGCTGGTGTGGTTCAGTTAGCTGAGCACTGTCTCAGGCACCAAAAGGTTGCCAGTTTGCTTCCTGGTCAGGGAACATACCCAGCTTTGGGCTTTATCCCCAGTACAGGGCATGCAGAAGGCAGTCAGTTGGTGTTTCCCTTGGAAGAGAGAGAATCATTGATTGGCTGCCTCCTGCATTCCCCACACTGGGCATCGGCCGGCAACCCAATCACGCACCCTGACCAGAATTGAACCGTGACCTCTTGCTTTATAGGTCGATGTTAACCACTGAGCCATGCCAGTAAGGCTAAAATCACATTAGGATTTTTAAGATGAATCTCAAGCCACACAAGGCCAGAAACCATGTCTATAATCTTTATTGATATGTCCTCAGAGCCAAACATCTGACACATTCAAGGCACTAGTAAATATTAGTTGAATGAATAAACTTTAACAATAAACTTATATTTCAAAACTCAAGAAACCCATTATTGTCACTAAGAACCATTTTGGACAGTATGGACTTAACACTATAATCCTGAGTTCAGACCTGCCTTAGGAGGTGTCAGGTCTAACCCCTTCCGCAGAGACGGGTCCTGACAGAAGGCTCTCCCAATACTGGCAGGAAAGGACCACACCCCAGACATGGCTCATCCAGGTGGGTGGCTATGTGAGCATGCTGCCTCTCATTGTGAACCCTCCCAGGTTTTGCTCTGGAAAAGCTCTCAGCTGACAAAGCTTCTCCTCACCTGGATTTGGATTCCTGTATTGTCTGCTACCTTCTACATAGAGAACTATGTCGCCTAAACCAGTGGTCGCCAACTTTCGGACCTCAAGGACCACCAATGGTCCAGAGACCACCAGTTGGTGACTGCTGGATTAAACAGTTCACATCCACTAATGAATCTGCAGATTAACTAAAACCCTTGTGTATTTTTTTTAATATACAACTTAAATTAAGCTAGGTGTCTATCTTTTCTCCATTTAAAAAATTGGAAAATATATAAATGAAATGGAAAAATTACTCTCTTGTATTCAGCCCAAAAATTTTCAAACAAGTTATATAATTTATAAAACATGACAGTCATAATAAATCTATGAGTGTTTTAAAGAGAAATGTTAATGTTTCCCTTTCTCAACCCAAAGCTTGCTGATGAGGACACCTTCTACTCTGCTTTTCTCCAGCTGACATCAGTTTTCCCACATCTATAATAATAAAAGCATAATATGCTAATTAGAACAGACATCATTCTGGACATCCTTCTGGACAAAGCCAGGGCTGCAAGGGAAGCCTGGGTTCTGAGTGCCAGAGGGAAGCCGGTGCCAACAACCAGGGGAAGGAAGGTCTACTCTTGCATGAATGTCATGCATCGGACCTCTAGTTATTAAATAAAGATCATTTTTAATGGCCAAATAATATTCCATCCAGTAGGGTGTACGTTCCAGTTTAAATCTCAATTTCCAAGTCTGGACAGATAACTGCTACTACCTGCTCAGGAGCTGTCATGAGGGCCACATGAGGGGTCAATTTCCTACCTGGCACTGTGCCTGGCCTAAGTGTTCCCCTATCACTGGACACTGTTGTTGTTTCCACTTTTGCTACAAATGACAGCAATGGTCTCCCGAAGGGTCAGTTACTGAGAACAGTGGGACCATCTGACATTCGCTCATCAGGCTCTTCACATAATGCCAGCCACGTTCCTCAGGGTGATGCCAACTCTACCACCTGAACATTACAATGTCCAGCACACCCCAACTTCAGCTCCTTTTTAATTTTCTGTCTCTGATATACCTAAAAACGATAGCTTACTTAACCACTGGAATTTCTTATTTTTTCAAGTTCTTTTCCCGTTTACTCACAAGAACCATCTTTTTAAACAGTACTGTAACCATATTTGCCATATTTAAATACATTTTGCCTACTATTAGTAATGTTCACTGGTTAAGTAGTATATTATTAATCCAAGAATCACATGTACAAATTCATTTTTATTATCAAGTTATTTTTGAAATGCATATTCTTTGGTCATCTACAACAGTAAATATCCTTTCCACCTCTGCTGCCCACACATTTGATGAGCACACCTTTTTCTTCAGCAAGTCAGTGATCAACCACCACTCAGCCCTCTGTATGGTGGTCCTCCCCAGTTGAGAGCCTATCTAATACACCAGAAAAATGTTCTGGGCTGTCAATTGGTTAATTATTACATTGCTATTTAATTCATTTTAAATCCATCAAAAGATTACATGGTAACTTTATTTTCTAAAACTATGTGTTCTGCCTGGCTAGTGTTGCTCAGCTGTTGAGCATCGACCTATAAACCAGGATTTCATGGTTCATAGGATTCCCAGTCAGGACATTTGTCCAGGTTGCAGTCTCCATCTCCAGTTGGAGGCATGCAGGAGGTTGCTGCTCAATGACTCTCTCTCAACACTGATGTTTCTCTCTCTCGCCACCTCCCTTCCTCTCTGAAGTCAATAAAAAATATATTTTTTAAAAAATAAATAAAACAAATTATGTGCCCTGATTAGCTCTATTTACAATAACTGTTGCAAATTTTGTGATGTGAGATAGTAATAATAATGGCAGTTAATGATTACTGAATGTACTACTTGATGTTAACTCTGTCCTCACAACCACCAAGGAGTCTGGCACTGGTATCCCTTTCTTATAGACGAGTTAATGTCATGGAGGCAGTGAGTGGCAGAATCCAACTCAGTCTGGGCCCATAAACCACTGCTCAATCCTGCCTCTCATAGCTGCTTGCTGCAAGGGATTATATGCAGAGACACAAATCCAGAGTGAAGACAAAAACATGCCTTCTGTTGGTTCCTATCAATTTCTCAGACTGAGCACCAACTTCCATTGGTTCCCTTATTTTATGTGATGCTTCAGAAAGACCCCATAGTCATTCCTAAAAAGTTCCATCAATATATTTGTCTGGCCGAAACTGGTTGGCTCAGTGGATAGAGCATCGGCCTGCGGACTGAAAGGATCCAAGTTTGATTCCGGTCAAGGGCATGTACCTTGGTTGCAGGCACATCCCCAGTAGGGGGTGTGCAGGAGGCAGCTGATTGATGATTCTCTCTCATCGATGTTTCTAACTCTATCCCTCTCACTTTCTCTCTGGAAAAAAATCAATAAAATATACTTAATATATATATATTTGCCTCACATACAATTTCATCTAGAATATATGATCACTAGTCAATATCGCTGAGGTTCTACACATTTTAAACTCTATTTGTATAGGCTTTTTAACACAAAAATTAAATGTCCCACTTATTCTTAACTATCGTGGAATTTAGGAAACTGAGCTGTGACAAACTGTTCTTACAGAATGAAAGATAGCTCAGAGGGGCACAAAACAATCTCTCTTCAAAGCTGTGCATAAAATCAGCTGCTAAGCAGGAAACTTTGCTATTACCACTCTACCAAATTCCAGACAGCTGAAAGTCGGTAAGCAGCTCTCTCTGTTTCAGTATCGCTCAAAACTAACCCAGCACAAAGAGCATCAAGTCAATACACCACATTCCAGCCTCAACTCAGGAACTTTTACTCACTTTAAAACAGCTGGGATATCCAAACAGGGCTCGTAACAAGATGAGGAAGATCTCCCATTATCTCCCATTTCTGCAGAGGGAGATTTTTAAGTAGAGTTAAGTTGTTCTTTATACTAAAACCTTAAATCTCAAAAATTTGTTAAGCTTCCCCAAAAGAACTTCCAGAATTTTAAGCTCATATTTTGCCCTTATACTAAGATGAAAGTAAAATGTTAATAGTCTTATAATGCATTTCAAGTATGCATTTTGAATATCTATATTATATACAATATTGAAAGTTTATTAAAATAAAAATCCCCCTGACCGGTTTGGCTCAGTGAATAATGTGTCCAGCTGCGGACTGAAAGGTCCCGGGTTCAATTCCAGACAAGGGCATGTACCTTGGTTGCAGGCATATCCCCAGTAGGGGGTGTGCAGGAGGCAGCTGATTGATGTTTCTCTCTCTATCCCTCTCCCTTCCTCTATGTAAAAAAATATAAATAAGAAAAAAATAAAAATTAAAAAAATTAAATTAAAACCCACATTTTTGGACAAGAGAAAAAAGGGTAACTTAAAGAATAAAGAAAAATTGTCAAAGTGGGCCTCATTAAACTGCCCTTATTAACAGATTCAATACAAGAAGAGTGGCACAGTGGCACAGCAATTGGGTCTCTAACTGATATAAAGGCATTAGAAAAGAGATACTCTGGTAAAAGTCCCTAAAAACTTATGTTAACACATAAAATATGTCTCCTAGCTAAAAGCATCTTGCCAAGTTTTGCTCAGACACGAAGAGCCAACCAACTCTTATGTCTCTAGCCATCCTAGCCTGGCGCTGAGGGCAGCAGGATCTGGATACCGTATACCTGGTGACTGTGCTGCCACCTGCAAGCTAGAACCCAGAACACATACCCTAGGTTATTTCAAAGTCAACATGCTGCCCTGACCGGACTGGCTCAGTTGATAGTGTTGGGCTGCAGACTCAAGGGTCCCAAGTTCGATTTCAGTCAAGGGCATGTACCTTGATGGTGGGCACATCCCCTGTGGGGGTGTGCAGGAGGCAGCTGATTGATGTTTCTCTCTCATTGATGTTTCTAACTCTCTCTCCCTTTCCCTCCCTCTCTGTAAAAACATCAATAAAATTTATTAAAAAAAAAAAAAAGTCAACATGCTAATGATTTGCTTATTGGAGAAGTGCTTGGGTTCAAGAATCTCCTGGGTTCCCCAGTCACCTATCTCCCCAAGCTCCTCAGTGTCCTTGTAATGTCTGACAAGTATAGCACTCATACTTGAACCAAGACCTCTGTTGAGAGGTTTTTGAAAGTCACATCACAATTCCCAGAGAAGCTTCTCAAAGAAGCCATTCTGAACCTCACCCAGACTCATACAATCAGAATCTCTGCAGTGCACTTGGTTAAGTATGCCAACTGACACTTATGATGACAGATACCGAAGAACAGTCCCTAAGGAAAACAATATCACAACCCCTACATAACTCTGCCTCCCCTACCAAATAGGAGGTAGTAAAAGTCAGCTTTTCTTTCCTAAATACAAAGTATATACTCTTGTTATTTGCTCAAAAGTGTTATTTTAATCCAGTCAATATTATCATCTCCTCTTCCCATGAAAGAAAAGATGGGCCCTAACCGGTTTGGCTCAGTGGATAGAGCATCGGCCTGCAGATTGAAGGGGTGCCGGGTTCGATTCCAGTCATGGGCATGTACCTTGGTTGGGAGCACATTCCCAGTAGGGGGGTGTGCAGGAGGCAGCTGGTCGATGATTCTCTCTCATCGATGTTTCTCTCTATCCCTCTCCTTTCCTCTCTGTAAAAAATCAACAAAATATATATATTTTTAAAAAGATGGTTTCAGTGTTTCCACTTTTACTCTTCAAATGACCTTAATAATTTCATTAACACCCTAATATATGTACCTTTTGCCCTATTGTTGAAATTGCAAAAACCCAAATTAAAAGTTATCTTAAAATCAGCATGAGGAAACTTAAAAAGAATTAAGGCTCTGGTTACACAGAAACATCCTACGACTGCACCCTTACTTACTGTCAGCAAACAAGTCCCTGCATTTAAATCATCTGTTATAAAACAAAACAACAAACGACAAGAGCTAGTATGCTATTAACATACATGTTCGGCTTTATAAATACAATAAATAAATAAATAAAACAAATAAACTATATATATATATATATATATATATATATATATATATATATATATATATATATAAAGGACAATCCTTTTAAGCTAAGCTATTTAAAAGGGGCTCCAACACTTGCCAAAGTATGAAAAAAACATTGTGTTCTTGGTACCGTGGATGCAAATTTTGAAAAAACACCCTATCACTAGGAATTACTAAGTGATTTATCTAGGGAGAGGTATCATGAACTTTTTCGTAACGTATAGAAACTTCTTCCAGAAGAAAAGGCCATAACCTATTGTGTACAATTTCAGGGAGCTCGTCCTCACATCACCAGGTCAACCCTACATCTTTATTGGCTGGCGCGTTAAAATTCAAGATATGAACAGTGAGTGTGTAATCCAGCTTTTAACCTCTCTTTTAAAATTTTCCGATCAACCAGCAAAGCAAAAGGAAGCAGACACCGAGCTGACACGCAGCGCAGCGGAAGCGCAGGCTACGGTACCTTCTCCGCGATGCAGTACAGAACCTCGTCCATTTTCATGCACGTAGGGTCCCAATCGTGCCCGAAGCGAATAACGACCACTCGGTCTTCCTCCGAAAGGATGGCCTGGTCCACCTGCCAGCCATTGTGCAAGTGCGGGAGCATATACGACATGTTGGCGACTCCAGCGGCCTCTGCGGGAGAGAACTCGGTGGAGGAGCTGCTTCCGGCTCAGTCACAGCACTCGGCGCTGGCGGGGAGCTGCCCACCGACCGCGGCTTCCCTCCTCCCCGGCCCGCCCCCCGCCCCCAGCCCGGCTCCCCGGCTCCCCGGCTCCGACCTCCAACCACAGCCGGGATCCCCAACTCCCTCCCAGGACCCCGCTCTCAGATCCGGATCGCTGCTCGTACCTTCTCGAACACCCGACTTTCAGCGCTGCGACCGCCCTCGGCTTACAAACGCACTGACGTGTGCGTGCGCGTGCGCGTGCCCGCCGTGCGTGCGTGCGTGCGTGCGTCGGCCGTGCGCGCATGCGTCCTTGCCGGGGTGGGGCCTGGAGTCTGGTTGCCTTCGGGACGCCCGGCCCCGCGGTCCAGAGTGGCTGCTGTGTCCAACCGGTCCGAGTTTCAATGCGGGGCCCCAAATTAGTCATTTTGCCGTCATGCTTCCAAGACATAAATTATGATAATGTTGGGTTGTTGTGTATGTTGTTGGGTGTCCAACTTAATTAATTTACATATGGGTATCCAGTTGTCCCACATCGTGTTTTGGAAAGATTACTCCTTCCCCATCAAATTGCACCTTTGTTCAGGATGTGTGTGTTGTCCCAGGCAGAGGCGGGACTGGGGTTGGGCTAATCGTTGTACGGGGCGGAGACGCGGGTAAGGTGTGTTAGGCAGGTTGAAAGTCACTGTAAACTTTGAGTCTGTGAGGAACCTGCCTGGGAGACTGGTTCTACCTGAGCCCCTGAGATCTTGAGTCCTTTGAAAAGGTAAGTGTGTGTTCTAGCTGGTTTGGCTCGGTGGATTGAGCGTTGGTACCAGGTTCGATTCCGGTTAAGGGTGCATGCCTGGGTTGCTGGCTCCATCCCCAGTAGGCGGCTTGCAGGAGGCAGCCAATTAATGATTCTCATCATTGATGTTTCTTCTCTCTATCACTTGCTCTCTGAAATCAATAAAAATATATTTAAAAAGGTAAGTGTGCCCCTAGTCATGAAGGAGCCGTGAAGTATGGGCGTGGCTTCGACCCCAAACCTCGCCTGTGACAGAACAGTTGAATCCTAAACCCATCCAGACCTGCATAGCAGGACCCTAAAGGATTTAACTGGAGAAATGCAATGTTGTGGCAGGATGAAAGCGGTTTCAGGGACTCGGCCAGAATTTAGAGGTAAATTTGGACAGGTGTTTATTATTTTTGTAAGCTGTAGGCCAGTGTTTCCCAAACTTCTCTCATGATCAGAATCACCTGGTGGAGCTATTAAAATACAGATTCCTGAATCCCAACTAAGAAGTGCTAAACTAGAATTTTTGGGAACATATAGGTAAAATTGTATACTTAACTAGTATTATATAAAATTGTATACTTAATTAGTAAAATTGTTTACTTAACTAATATATTAAGTAGTATACTTAACTCTAAGCTTAGAGCACTAAAATTGTATACTTAACTAGAGCACTAAAATTGTATATTTAACTAGCTTAGAGCACTAGTTAAGTATACAATTTTACCTATATGTTCCCAAAAATTCTAATTTAGCACTTCTTAGTTGGGATTCAGGAATCTGTAGTTTAACAGCTCCACCAGGTGATTCTCATCATGAGAGAAGTTTGGGAAACACTGCTGTAGGCAATGGCACATTAAGCTTTAAATGGGTAAAATTTGTGGTACCCACATCATGTTTTAGTTCTTAGTTTACACCCTTACATGAATCCAGTGTTTTAGGAGCTTAGTGCCTATTTTTTACAGAGATATATCGTGATAGTTTTGATTTTAAGTTATATTGAATTTGTTGATACCTGGTATCTCAAGAAAGCTCACATAAAAGGTACAAACTGTGCAGGTTTCATTAATCTTGAACTAGCAAACCAATGGTCAAGGAATCTGTAAACCCTTCGGCATATTTTAATCTTTTGGGTCCCCTTATCTAGTCATGCGCTAATCAGATAATTGTCCGTTTACTAAAATATTTCAGGCTTCTTTGCTGGACTCTGGCCCATGATTGGAGATGGTTAAAGTCCAGTGCAAGACAAAGTGACTAAGGTGTGAGCCCTGCATCTGCCCGGAGCTCCCATCACTGTTACTTTCAATTCTCTCAACTGGGAATCTCACCCTCTCTTATTATTTGAAGCAGCCATTAGTCACTTGGAGAATCTTGAGTCTTTTCCACATAAAACCACTGACAATAATGGTGTAATGGATATATGCCATTGCTCTAATAAAAAGTTGCATATAAATTGATCAGAAATCATTCTTCTTCTCTGAAAAAGTAAAGTAAAATCTTATCTGAAGTCCAAAAAATTTTTAAATCAGCTTTAAACAAATGTTAAACATTTTTAGTCATGACCCAAAGATGCATTCATTAACCTCAATTCTTTTTTTAATAAGTCTTTATTGTTCAGATTATTACAGTTGTTCCTCTTTTTTCTCCCCATAGTTCCCTTCCACCCAGTTCCCACCCCACCCCATGCCCTTACCCGCCCATAGTCCTGTCCATAGGTGTTCAATTTTTGTCCAGTCTCTTCCCGCACCCCCATATCCACTTCCCCCCAAGAACTGTCAGTCCACTCCCTTTCTATGCCACAGATTCTATTATGTTCACCGGTTTATTCTGTTCATCATATTTTTTATTCACTCGATTTTTAGATTCACTTGTTGATATGCATTTGTCACTTTGTTGTTCATAATTTTTATTTTTACCTTTTTCTTCTTCTTCCTCTTCTTAAAGAACATCCTTCAGCAATTCATATAATACTGGTTTGACGGTGATAAACTCCTTTAGCTTGTTCTTATCTGTGAAGCTCATTATCTGACCTTTAATTCTAAATGATAGCTTTGCTGGATAGAGTAATCTTGGTTGTAGGTTCTTGTTATTCATCACTTAGAATATTTCTTGCCACATGGTTTTTGTTGAAAAATCAGCTGACAGTCATATGGGTACTTTCTTGTAGGTAACTGTTTTTCTCTTGCTGCTTTTAAGATTTTCTCTTTGGCCGAATCCGGTTTGGCTCAATGGATAGAGTGTCGGCTTGGGGACTGAAAGGTCCCGGGTTCGATTCCGGTCAAGGGCATGTACCTTGGTTGTGGGCATATCCCCAGTAGGGGGTGTGCAAGAGGCAGCTGATCGATGACTCTTTCTCATTGATGTTTCTAACTCTCTATCTCTCTCCCTTCCTTTCTGTACAAAATCAATAAAATATATTTTAAAAAAAAGATTTTCTCTTTGTCTTTTGCCCTTGGCATTTTAATGATGATGTGTCTTGGTGTGGTCCTCTTTGGATTCCTCTTGTTTGAATTTCTCTGTGATTCCTGGACTTGTAAGTCTATTTCTTTCACCAGGTAGCGGAAGTTTTCTGTCATTATTTCTTTAAATAGGTTTTCAATAACTTGCTCTCTCTTTTCTTCTGGCATCCCCATAATTTGGATGTTGGTATGCTTGAAGTTGTCCCAGAGGCTCCTTACACTATCTTCATATTTTTGGATTCTTTTTTCTTTTCCAGTTAGGTGTTTTATGCTTCTTCATATTTCAAATCTTTGACTTGATTCTTGATATTCTTTAGTCTGATGCTGGATCTCTGTTTTTTTTTTCTTTTCTTTTTTCCCCCCTTTTTTTTTTTTTTTTTTTATTGATTATGGTATCACATAATTGCCCTCATCCCCTCAATCCCATCCCAAGCCCCTCCCTACATATGTACACACACACACACACACACACACCCGTTGTCCATGGCCACTGGCCAGGCCCATATGCATGCACACAAGTCCTTTGATCTCTTCCCCTTTACCCCCACCCCTCCTACTTTCCCTCTGAGGTTTAAAAGTCTGTTCAGTGCTTCTTTTCCTCTGAGTCTGTTTTTGTTCATCAGTCTATGTTGTTCCTCATTTCCTCTAGATGCGTGAGATCTGTGATCTAAGAAATACCCTTGTAATGCCGGGACCGGTTTGGCTCAATGGATAGAGCGTCGGCTTGGGGACTGAAGGGTCCCGGGTTCGATTCCGGTCAAGGGCATGTACCTTGGTTGCGGGCATATCCCCAGTAGGGGGTGTGCAAGAGGCAGCTGATCGATGACTCTCTCTCATCGATGTTTCAAACTCTCTATCTCTCTCCCTTCCTCTCTGTACAAAATCAATAAAATATATTTAAAAAAAAAAAAAAAAAAAAAAAAAAGAAATACCCTTGTAAGAACCTAAACTGAGAAAAGCCATAATGGTTATGCTGAGAGGCAAATGAATCAGTCTGTAGTGAGTTTCTTTCTTGTATATTATTTTTTATTTCAGTCAGTGTATGCTTAATTTCTAATTGGTTCTTTTTCATATCCTTTAGGGTCTCACTAAATTTCTCAGAGGTCTCTAGAAGATTCTTGAGTAACCTTATAACTGTGATTTTGAACTCTATATCCTGTACTTTTGCTTAACTGCAAAATCACAGTTATAAGGTTACTTATAACATTTCTTTAATTTGTGACATGTTTCTTTGTCTCAGTTATAAGGTTACTTATAACTCAGTTATAAGGTTACTTATAACTCAGTTATAAGGTTACTTATACTTATTTCTTTCATTTGTGACATGTTTCTTTGTCTCTGCATTTTGGCTGCTTCCCTGTGTTGATAGAGTGGCTGTGTGTGCTAGGTGTCTTATAGGGCCCAGTGGCTCAGCCTCCGCAGTCACTTGAGGTGGACACTTTTGGTGCACCCCTTTGTGGGCTGTGTGCACAATCTTGTTGTAGTTAAGGCTTGATTGCTGTTGATATCATTGTGCGGAATTGACCTTCAGACCAATTGGCTGTGAGGACCAGTTGTGTCTACAATGGGAGAACTTCTTTTGGAGTTCTGGAGATACCCTATGGGGCAGGACTTGCTTTAGTGGGGCTTTGGTGCTCACTGAGTCTGACCCCTGAGTGTGTCTCTTATGGATGTGAAGAGCTGTAGTCTGGTATGGTCTCCTTTGACCACTGGGTAAACTGGCTCTTGAATCTCAAAGGAAATGCAAAGTCAACCCCTGCCTGACGCCACCCAGCAGGAGCTACAGAGAGATATGCAGATTCCTCCTCTTAGTTTGGGGTTTGGAGGTGCCCAGATGAGGCCCAACTGTGAAGCAATGCAGGCTGCTGATGAGCCTTAGGCCTTCTTTTGAAAGCTCTGGGATTCTTTGACCCAGCTGCAGTTTGTTAGGTTAGGTTGCAAAAAGCCAAACCATTCATATGCAAAGGCCTCTGCACACAGCTTGTGTGGGGTTGTAAATTGGGTGGAGCATGTTCTCAGGGAATCATGAGGCAGTGCAAACAGCAATGGTTGCCCCTTGGCCCTGCCCCGGGTAAGTTCCTGGGTCTCTGTGTCTCAC